ATTATTATTTTATTATCAATTCTACACTTTCAACAAAGAATCTCAAATTAAAATTAAATCTCAAAATCATAAGTAAAATTCTCAATAAATTATTAGTAATAAAACACAATAAATATTTCTAATAAATGATATTTTTCGAAACTTTTCTTTTTTCGTTTCAATCGGTAAGTTTACTTTACAACAAAATCAATAATAAAATTCAATTTACAATTCAGTCATATTTTAGATAATATCTGAGAATATTTTGCATTAAGAAAGTCAAATAAAGTATTCATTTTGTATTCTTTAATTAAGAGCTTTTATTATCTGACATTGAATATACTGTACACGAGAATTATTATTAGAAAACCAAATATTTTCAAATTTGTTAAATGTTGGGAATGACAAGCACATTTCATTATTTGTAACTATAATTGCATATACAAAATATTTTATACCACATTTTGTATCCGTTCCGAGAAATTATAAAAATTATTATTAATTCTTTATTTTGTATTCATGTGTATATCATAAATGTTATCATTTCTCAGTATTTCATACTATTTTTCATTTCTATCAGTTTTAACCAGTATCGATTCCTATTAATCCTATTAATACTATTCATCACAACAAATATAACGACAAAAATCAATCAATCATTTCTAGTATCACTAAAAGGAAGTGTAAATCTACGAGACATTTGAGGTCAAGAGCACTATATATCCAAAGTTTGTTGAAGTTTTAAAGTCGGGCTAACAATCAGTAGATATCTTTGGCTAATAAAATAGGCATCAATGATACGATGCCAACAGATATGATATAACAATATATTTAACATTTGTGTCTTATTTGTGCAAAAATGTCCCACTTTTTAGACATTTGTTTATTAGTTCATCTATTGTCGGGTCAGTCCGCAGACAATTTCCTCGTAAAACAAACACCCATTCAATTACAATAGCATTTCATATTTATTTGATTTGCATTTTAATGTTTTTATGATCTGAATATTGTCTGTAAATGTTAACAGCTATTTATTTTGCACTTTTACTACTCATACATTTGTATACATAATATTGTATAATATATTAAATATTAATAAGTCATTCAAATTGTTTTTCACACACTTTGACGATTGGGTTAAATAAATAATATTCGCTAATAATCTGAAGACTTATTAATTGCGAAACAATAAAACTATTTCTCGTTTAATCAATTCGTTTGACAATTAGTTTCTTTCAATTTTATAAGTCATTAGTTGTCAATATAACCGGTAATACTAAACATATAAATGAGAAAAATTATACTTTTATTTGATATAATTTTTAAAAAATCAAATTTCTAAACATTAAAAACGAAATGATAAAATTTATAATTATTTTCTCAAATGAATTCAAAAGCTAAAAATCAATTTCTGTTTTGTTTACACAAACTATTCATTCAAATACTAATGAATAAGCATTTTATATGATATTCTAAGGAATGATATTCATAGGATTGGCTAACAATTTATATTATCTGCTTATGATTATCATAATATATATACTCATATATTATATTAAATTATATCATATATTATATCATAACTTATATATATTGTGCCGATTTTTATAATAATTTATATTAACATTAAATACAATTTAAAAAAGGCACGCTTTTTGGGAATAAGTTAACAAACATCTAGTTAACATCCAGTTAAATCTATAAATTAGTCATTTTTGTGCTATTTGTGTGTATTTTAAGTATTATCCATTAAATTAACAACAAATCCAATACAAGTGACACTAAATGACATGACGTGTCGCTTATGACATGGAAATGGATTGGATCTCATTGAGCCTCAACTCTGCCATACCATTAATGCCATTCAAGTGGACAATGGCTGCCATCACAACAAAAATGTGGAACAATTGGTGAGATTGGAACCAATAGTCACACTTCCCGGGGAAGAATCGCTCGGGTATTCGGATAACGTAGAGGAGGGCGCCGATGACATAGAGCATGCCCTGGAGTATGAATAATAGGAAGGCGCCGATGAGGTGCGACTCCAAGACAATGGCCCAATGGATGCCGGGGATGACGTTGGAGAGGCCGAACGCCAGGAATACGGCCGTCCGGAAGGGCCGGAACTTTGGTTCACCGAATTTGTCCCACAAAGAGATCACTATAGAGATGACACACAGGACTATACCCAACGTGATGTACGTTAAATACATGACTCGGTTGTCGTAGAAGCCGTAGTAGAGCGCCGGTATCATAGAGCCGATGATCTGTATGGAGATCCCGCAGTAGTCGAGCTTTGAACAGAATTTGGACACTTCTCGCGAGTGACAGCTGCACGTGTGGAACAGTGTCGAGAAGGCCAGGCATGTGATCGCACCGCAGAAGTAGATGCCGAGCATCAGTCGGTCCACGAATGAGCGCTCGTTGTTCTTGAAGGTGACCATCGAGTAGACGAAGAGTATGAGGAAGAGGAATGTCCCCAATCCGTGGGTCCATATGTTTCCCGTTTCGGTGTGGAGTCTGAACACCGACTTAAAGCACACCAAAAACGACGGCAGAGGAGGTCTGTGTCCTCTGTGGAGATATTCGTTGTCCTGAAGCCACTTCGGGAGAGCATTGAAATGGCAGACATTCCAG